AGTCTTCTATGCTTTTTAATAACTTTATTTTCTTCACCATCAATAATATGTATTGTACTTAGCATTGTCACAGGTCCATTATTGATCCATAATATTGCTAATACTTTTTCTACTATAACATCAGTTAAAAAATCCCATTTATGAGATTTTTCTTTTTCTTTTTTTAAGATTATGGGAAATTTTGCTGTATTAGTTCTGACTGTTCCACATGCTCCAAAACCTTTTCTTGGAGAAAAGAAAATAAATTTATACTTGAAAAATAGTTATTTATATAAATATTGAATGATTTTTGTGATAGTAATTGACTAACTAAATGATATATTTCTACACCAATTTTATTAACATTAGCAATAGCATCAACAGTAAAGCTTTTGACTCTTAATATAAATATAAAAGTATAGATATAGTCTGACTCACATAAAAATAATATTTTGTATTCTTCTGGAGTTGGTTTATTCTTTATTCAAAATATATGTGTATTTCATCTAGAAAATCTAGCTATTATTTAATTTACTGCTACATTAGATACTAGAATATATAATTTTTTAGATGTATTATGAATATGTGAAGCTAATGGTTCTAATTTTGAAAAGTATTAGATTGTTGAGTAATATCCGAAAGATGCAAATATTGCTTTATGTAAATAATAAAAAAAAATATTTTTTTTAATTAAAAATTTCTAAAACAAATAAAACCAATTTTAATATATTAATTATTTACTTATCTGTTGAAAATAAAATAAAGACATTAATTTTATAATATAATTATTTAGATAATCTTCATTTGTTTCCAATAATCATCTATAGATGGGAATTTAAATATACTTATATATATGATAAGAGCAATCCATATTTTAAATTTACTAGCTGTTAATTCTTTCTAGCTACGACCTTTTACAGATTTTTTTGAATTATTGTAATAAGCATAAAAATTTGTATTTTGTAAAAAAATAGTAAATGAAGTAACATTAGATTGAAGAGAATTTGATAAAATTATAGTTGAATTATGTAATTGATGAGTATGTTAATAAGGCATTAATTCTAAAACAAATTATTATACAGCAGTTTCATTATCATTTTTTTTTATTTTTCTTTTATTAGTATTAGTATTAAGCTTATTACTATTATCTTCATTATCTTTATTTAATTCATCTAAATAATCTCACTTTCGTAAATTGACAAATATAATTTTCATCATCAAAAATAATTTTATTTTCTTCAATTTATTATGACATTACTATCTAAAAAATTGCTAAAAAAATGTAAAGATTATTGAAAAAATGTGTAAACTAAAAATCAATTTTCATATGAATTTATTACATTGTTATAAAAAATCTTAAAAGAAAATTTATTTAACTATTTGGAATTGTATTACTATAGTACAATATTGCAGGCAAATTTGCTTGTGTTACAAATGAGAGGGAATAGTAATTTAAAAATTTAAAAATTTAAACCATATATGGTAATCTGCAGTAAATGCAGAAAAATATATTACACAAAAATTTTTTGAGAGAGACTGAGTTCCCTCCAGACTCCTTCTTCTTTAGTCTTTTTTTTTTTTTTAGCATTTTTTTTTAATTTTATTATTTATTAATTGTATTTTATTTAGACAAATTTGTTTAAATTATAAATAAAAGGATAATTGCATATTTTAATAATTCTTTCATAAAAATTTAAATCAAACTATTTGCTAATAAATCTAAAAAAAATTTGCAGGCAAATTTGCCTGCAAGTTATTTGTGATACAAATGATTGGCTTATTGTATAAAAATTTAAATATGTTAAATTTTACAGTCAAATTTAATTATATTACAAATAAAAAGTCATAATGTTATAATTTAAATAATTTTTTGTTATATATAATCTTTTTGTTATAATAATTTAAATTTAAAAATATTTGCAGGCAAATTTGCTTAAATTTGCTTGCATTACAGATAAAGGGATAAGTTAAGATCTACAGACGGATGAATTCTTAAAACACCAATCAACGCAAATTTATTGAAGATTTACAATGACAATAAAATTGCAACCCTATAATTTATTTTTAATAAATACTATCAAAGTATAAAAGACCTAAAATTTCTTTTGTTAAAACCTCAAATTTTACAAAATGAGTTTTAAAAATTTCCAACAAATGAATCAGTTTATCAACAACTACAAATCTGACGTTGAAAAGGTTGAAAATGTGAGACATGTAATCGAAAAAAATGAAGCTAAACTTCTTTCAATTATACTTGACCTTTGGGAAAAAACTAATTCTGAAAAATTAATCTTCATAATGAATGAAATTTATCAAAAGAACACTAAAGTAGAATTCGTTAAAGCAAAATTTCTAAAGAACTTATTAGGAAAAGAAAAACACAAAAGGAATATGCTCAAAACTTAGAATTATTCCATCAGTTTTATCTAAACGTATTAAAAGAAGAAAGAAAGATTCTTCGATAGACTCAAATCAAAGAAGAAGAAAATGTAACAGTGTAAAATTTTGGCTAAAAATCTGCTTACAAATCCAATGTCAATTATATATCCTTATTTATCATTTCATTGATCCTGATGTTAACTTTATGTCCTGAGATAATTAATATGAAACATTGTAGATCCAGATGTCAATTTTATTTCTAATGCAACAGGCAATTTTATTGATATGATCATCCTTGCTGATCAATTTTATCAATTTTATTTCCTTGATAATGTCATTTTATTTTCATAATTATATTTAGTTTAGTTATTTTTATAATTATCAAACATATATAAATATCACTTATTTTCATTAAGTTTTAATATCTGATGAGGTAGAAAACTTACAATTTATTATATTATTAATAAAACGTATAATTAACCAAGTTAAAACTTATCTTTTGCAACTCTTTAACCTGAGTATATTATTATTGTTTATTAACTTTACATGATATTGTATTGATTCATTGTATTGATTTAAGATGTAATCACTGAAACGTAATCTCTAAATTATCCAGAAGTTACTCATGTATAATTGAGAATAATCTTTGACATTTACTATGAATCTTCATTATGATTCACTGAGTTTAGTCTTAGCATTATTAATTTTTATGAATTTTATTTGAGTTACAAATCAGATATAACTACGTAGAAGATTATATGAAAGCTTTTTGAATAATATACAATCAAGAACTAATATAGATATATCTTTTAATTATGTAATTCCTATCATTATGAATTGGCCTAATCAGTTTTTTGTTTATAAACTATTGCATTGATTTCTTTTCAACAATGAAATCATCCCTTTATTTATTACGGTATTTTTCTTATTATGGATTCTCTCTATGTGTTCTTGAATAGTCACGAAGCTGTATTTGTAAATTATTCATTTATATTTAATAATATTTATAAAAATATTCAAAAAAATAAGGGTTTTAGTGAAAAGCTATGTTCATAGTAAATTAATTTAATGCTTCACATAATGTGTATAATATGACTTGATATACTTAACATTATATATTCTAAGTTTAGTCATATATGCAAAAATATCAAGTTTTTATATTTAACTGATTTTTTAAACAATTTAATTTCTTTAGTTCTCAATATTTACGCTGTGTATGATCAAGAAGGTAACTGGCTGACTTACAATAAAATTTGTATGCATTACTGAAGTGGTCTGTTTTTTCAATTTGATCAAAGAAATTTGCTCTTTAATGTTTTTTTTGATGTATTTTATTAGATGAAAACTAATCATCTGATAATTAATATAGTTACTAATAGCTTTGCCTTTTTAAGTGTTTGTTCTGTAGAAATCATTCATTGCATTATTTGATAGTATATAGCTAAGTTGTCTACTATACAACAATTACAAAAGAGGCTCATTTTATTTGCAATATTAAGAGGATGATTCATTTTAATAAACTTTCATAAATTTCGTAAAATATTCATATATACCAAAGCAATTGCATATACTTTTTCAGAAATATGTTATTTTGCATTTAGATGTATTTTAGAAAGATATATCAAACACATGACCAATATTCTTTAATTGTTAAAATTTTATCTGATGGAATAAATTTATATAAGTTGCTTTCTTTAGTTATGAAATAACTAATCATCTCTTTCTGAGACGTTTTATTACTTCTAGAAAACCTTTTACAGCTGTCTTGTTGTATTACATATATTGTGATTATACTAACTATACTAATTACTTAGATGATTATAATGTTCTTGCATGTGAACATGGATATTATAAATATTGCTTACAAAGATATTTGTCTAAATGTTTGATATATTTAGACTATCTTTGGATTGAAATTAAAAAAAAATGTTAATATATTAAAAGAAAATATGATAAAAAGATTAAATAAAAATGAATTTATTGATGAGAATAATAAAAATTCAGTTGATAATGATATGGATAATGTTAAAACAGCAATAGATGATATGATGTGACACAAATGAATAATTTATTAGAAAACACAAAAAAATTATTTTTTGAATTGTAAATTTTATTTTTATTAAATAAAATTTTATTTTTATTTGATTTAAATTGTTTATATTTAATTGTAGCTATGCATTTTAAAAATCCCAGCAACTTAAATTAATAATGTTTGCATATTTATTTTTAAGATACATAATAAAAGATATTAAAAGTTTGTTAAGACATATATAATAAAGGATTTTTCTTTTTTTTTATGGTTTCAAACTTCATGATTTTGATTGGTCGATCAAAGATTACAGGGTTATAATTTTGTGTAACCAGGACAGTCCCTCGGATACTGGGAAAAAAGAATAAAATATACATTTAAAGTTTTGTGTAATTAGATGATCTTTAATATCCGCATCTTATGAAAAATTACAAATATCGTCCGTTTACTAATCCTTTTATCATGATATGAACACGGATCAACTTTTTAATAGGTAGAGAAAGCCTTGTTCAATCTCCTTTGTTGAGTAAATGATGTCCAAAAATCTACACCATTATTTGTCAACTTCTCGCTATATCACGAGAAATGTATTTATTCCTCAGCTTTTTATTATTCATCGTCGCTTCTGCTGAAGATGTATTTGATTCGGCTTTCTTGTCGGATTTTTCTCAAGCTCGGCGGAAGTTGTAAGAAAGATATTTGTAAGATTAACAGGTGTAACCTCAGTTTCAGATGACGAACTATATATCTGAAATGTGAGAAGATATTTATGCTGCGGGCCATAATTTAAACAATGGAAAAATACCTTGTTTTCTGGGGTTTGTTGTTCGGGGTAAATTCAATTAGAGCTAGCTGATTCTTCTTCGTTGACTTTTCTAGTACAATCTTGATTGTTTCGTACGCCGATTGTTCGTCCCACTACTTCGTGTGTTGCCTGTAAAGTTCAAATTGTTAAGCGTTTAACCAATACAACTCGTAACTGGTTGATTGTGTCCACGCCTGTCAAAAAAAAATTAAAACAATTTAAGCTAATTTATTCCAGATTATTCGCGCTCCTGCGATTGGTACTATTATTGATTATAGTGAGGATGATCGCTTATCCAATCTAACATTATCGTTATCAGTTAACATAAAATAAATATTGCATAACATGCGTAAAAGAAATTTCAGTATTAATTTATTTATTTTATTTATTTTTTATTCTTCAATCGGTTCTTTTATTATTTTGTAATCTATTACTCTTTTGGACCTTTAATGTTACTAATCTGAGTATAAGATGCCCGTTACAGTTGGCTGCATATTTACCAACTCTTTCTTTCGATTCCCATATACCGAAATTCATAACGAAACAATATACCAAAGTATTTATTGTAATCATTATAAGTTAGTAAATTATTTTACAATGTAAAGTTCCAATTTAAATCCTGACACAACGTCGGCCTCATATTTATTTATATAAATTGTTATGGTTACAAATAAGAAAAATTCTGAACTATAACTTAATAAGTTGTTTTATGTTCAAAGGGATACATATCATATAATTGTATTCAATGAAAGTTATAGTCTATCCTTTTTGACCGATTAAGATAACCTGTTTTAAAAACAATTAACGCGGTCTCTCGTTTTTGCGCCGAATAGCATCTTCTGCTAAATCTTTAAGTAGTTGAATGCCATATTTTTCCGCTACTCTTAAGAGATTTTCATAACTTTGAGGATCTTGCCCATTTAACCACATTAGAAATTCTTGGAATGTACCTGTATCATCATTTATTGTGATTTTTGTTTTGTTATTTGTTGATTTAATAGAACTATTACAGAACATTTCTTCAAAATGAGTTGAAAATGCTATTAAAAAAAACAAATTAATTTAATGAAGGGGAAAAAAAGAAAGAAAAATCTCTCAAAACATAAAATGAAATTACCGGAAAGCACATATCTATTTGCACTACCAATCTTTTCGTTTTCAGTATTAATAAAAATGACATCATGATATTTATCACTTAAAAGTTTCTTTAGTAATAAATCTTTTGGATCGATTTTTACACTTGATTCAGTGGCCCCAGCTCGCTTCAATAAATTTTTATATGGCATTAAAAATTCATTAACGTTGTCTTGTGAAATAAATTTAAGCGAACTTGCTTGTACCCAATTTTTCTTATAAAACGGATCATCATTATTCAAAAATAACTTTTGACTTTTAATCATCGATATATGCTCATTGTTCACTTTATCTTCAACTTGTAAAAATCTGTCCATTTTTTCATAAATGTCTTTGATTACAATTTTCACTTGTTCCTTAGAATTTCTCCAAGTTTCTATATTTATATTTGTAACAACGGAAATCCAATGTTTAATAAGATTATCTGTAGAAGGAACTCCAATTTTTAGACCTTTAATTTTTAGATGACGCTCAATGAAAAGAGAAGTAGGCTCAACTGATTTATCAAATAAAGCGCATTGAGACCAACAAACGTTCTTATAATTTTGTGAACAAAGTGATTTTAAATTTTCAAACCCTGTAGTTACTTTCGGTTCATAATAAAATGGAGAAAGATTCTTTTCTGATGGAACAAATTTCATTTCAATAATTATTTCCCATTGTTGTTCGTTGAAATTTAAACTGTTGACATGTTCATATAAATACAGTACTAAAGTTTTTGCACGATCTTCAATTTCATTTGCTGGAAATCTAGCTTGGTTAATCTGTATAACAATTTCTTGTGCAATTTCTTGTGCACATTCAATATATGTATCAGAATTCACTTGATTCTTAAGACCAATCCTTCCAAGAGCTTCTAAACAAACAGGGTCATTTTGTAATTCTGGTGGTAAAAATTTGTTTTTATCTGCAAAAGTATTGAGGAATAAATGAATACTACTATCATATAATGTGCTGGCAAGTACGAAAGCGTTAAGCGAATTATTAGGTATTATTCGTTTATCTGCAATATAATGTTCAATTTCTCGATTCTTTAAAGATAAAATTTTCCGCAAAAACTCTATGTACTTCGGAGAAGGTTTTGAAAAGATGGTAAATGGTGGCTTTAATAGATGGTCTTTAACGTACTCAAATTCAGTAATAGTTTTGACATTTAATCTAGTAAGTGCATCAAAATCAGATTCTTCGTCGCATTTATAAAACTTGGTTTCTTCACAAAAGGAAAAAAATGGAAGCGAGTATGGAAGGAGGGTTCCAGATGTGGCATTAATGAGCCTATCTTTAGAAGAATGTATTGGCCATATCGGTAAAGATTTAAGAATCTTCATAAAATCTTCTTTGCTTTGTCCATGAGCTATTAAGACAAAATAGAATACAAAAATTTAAAGAAATATAGTCAAATATGAGACGATTAAAAAAATGGTAAGTAATTTTTCTTCACTTGCCTGCTAATTTTACAATCTTTTCTTTAATAAATGTTCTAAACTTTGCGTTATCATCAGTTGATAATTTTTCAAACATTTCTTTCATATTTGAAGAACAAGCTTTTCCTAAGGAATAAATTATATTTATAGGAGTACATCGCACAACGCATTTTTTAAGTTCCTTATTAGCACTTTTGAAAAATTCCATATTAGTAAAACGTACTTGTAGTTTTACTAATATCGGAATTAAATCATCATCCTTTTCATCCTTTTCATATAGAAGCGGATTATTTGTATCAGGTCGAACAAGTTTGGGAGGTTCAATCACTGACAATAAAGGAAATTTAGAGAGTTTGACAAATTCTAAATTTTCTGCATCTTCATTAAATTTTGACCAAATTGTTTCAAGCCACGTATCATTTGGTATACCATTGGGATTCCATCTCATTTCTCTTGACATAGGTATTTCATGTTTTAGAAGATCTAAAATAGCAGATGTATCAACCTTTTTAATATTTGTAGTTTCAGAAAATTTTTTATCTGAGAAAATTTTCTTTAGTTTCTCTGGCAATTTAGTGGAAACAAATCTAGATTTGCTTTTTGGAAATAATTTTAGATGTTGGTTTTCTCCAATATAATACACATCACCAAAATTTTTAACAGAACTATCACTCAATGGAACTAATGGTAATTCAGTAAGTTGTTCAAAGGAACCTTCATCTTGAAGAATATAGTATAGCAATTCGAATAGTAAATCATGATTTTTATGGATATTATCAAAAGATATCATAAATCGCCTTTCTTGTAATTCTTCGCAAACCAAGCTTCCATTGATAGGTGTGAAATTGAAATTTTGAATTTGAGATCCAGCCTCTTTAAGTTGATCAAGCTTAACCTTATCAAGTTTCACGGTTGGAAATTCTAAACGGGCCAATATATCTGCAATTACCGTCTTTTCTTCCTCAAGAAGCTTAGCTTCTTGTAATGAAATGAATTGACCACCATCGACTTCGGTCCAAAAAAATTTATGTTCACCTTGACCTAATTTCTTAATAACATTTAATCCATAATTTTTGTACAAACCCATTAATGAATCATTCTTAAGGGGCCAAAAAATATTTAAGGTGTGTGGAATGAAATTTGTTTCATTTATCCTGCGTCTTTCTTCAAGCTCCACAATGTTATCGAGTAATTTAACGTGTAAATCGGGTAAGACATCATACAGGATATAGTGATTCCATTTTGAATCATCACGATCAACGTCATTTTCAAATTGTAGAACATTGCTTCTGGAACTAGACAAAGAAAAGTTTCCATTTAAATGAACTCCCAAATTGGTACTTATTGACAATGGTAAGTAAGAAAAGATTTCGCCTTTGAGTTCAGGAGGATTTGGAAACTATAATTCAAAAAATTAATATTTCATACAGTATTTACATTAAAAGCGATTATATAAGCAAACAAATATATATTTACCGATGCGGCTTTTAATTCATCCAAAGTTTTTGTATCAGATTGAGCAAGTAATGATGCGACACCTCCCCTTGGCTTAATAATATTAATATAATTAATTCATGTAAAAAAAATTATAATAAATTAATTAGTAAAATACCTTAATTTGTGTTCTCCTCGAAATATTTTCAAGTTCTTCCGATCTGATTCTCTCATGTCCCCCTATACATAAAAGCCATATTTCTGAAATTTTACTGTTTAGTATATCATTGATCTCAATTTTAATATCTAGCTGATATGTTTGTATACAGTCCGTTACACTTTTACGAATATCGCGATGATCATCCGACATATAAATTTGAGCTTGCCATATTGGTTGAGGAACTTGTTCATGATCATTTATGTGACGTAAACTACATAACTCTATATTTCTTAAAAAGAGCATTTCTTTATTACCCTGAACGCCATTAAATAATTGCAAGATTTCTTCAATTTTAACGACATGGTTCGTAATTTTACTATCGCTCGCTAATTGATCAGTTCTAAGCGGAAGCCTAAACAATGTTCCGTTGAATATTTCATTAAAATTGCAATCTAAAGCTTCATAAGGATAGCATTGATCCGGAAAACTCTCCTTAAATTTTGTCTTCATAAAATTAATTTTAAAACCTTTTTTTCTTTTAGGTGGACGTCCTTGTGCTGGAAGATATTTTTCATTTGGATCAAAAAATATAATATATTCTCTGCTTACGATGCTTGGTAAATCTGTAAGATGATAGGCACAATTGAATCCTACTCCAAATCTTCCTATTCTATTTTCATTTTCATTGTCATTTTCATCACGAGATTTTCCTCCTATTCCAAGTTTGATCAAAGCATCAAAGTCATCATCAGAAAATACAGAATTATTATATATCCAAATAGCAGGACCTTGCCAACCATCCATTTCTTTTGTAAGTAACGACATTTTAGACGAATGTTGGAATTTCGGTCTTTCATCGACTATTACTGACAAATTTGTGGCTTTAGCATCATCTGCATTCTACATTGAAGAGAATAAATTATTCAGAAACAATTTGAGAGAAACAAAAAACGATAAAATAGTAAGACTAAGTTCATTACTTACTTGAAGAAATTCTTTAAACAATTGACTTAGTGAATAATCCTAATGATATTCATACAATTTAAACATTTTACAAACAAATTACAATTAATTTAATTAAGAGTTAGATTTATATGTTACCTTAATAATGTTTTTTATTCTGGTAGTTAGTAATTCATCTTGCTCAAATATCTCCCAACCCCCTAGAAAATTGAATTAACTGTTTAGTTATAAAAAAATGAGAAACATTAGTTTTGATCCTAGAATAAATACTATAGTTACCAAACATTGTTCCGGTTAAAGTTGGAATTCCTAGTTCATCAGCAATATACCGGGTTACAGATTGATGAGCAATTATGTGTTGACTTATTTCATGTTCGCTAATTCTTTCTTCAATGTCATTAAATTGAATTCTATCTAGTTTCACAAGCATATTTTCGGTACTTGGCACTAATAGTTCATTCAAACCATCCGGATCATTTCCTCCACACTTAGTATCCTTTTGTATTTGGGAAATTCGGTTAAGAATCTGAACGACATGGTTTATTTCGTCATCTGATAACTTTCTTTCCTCATTTCCTTCCACCATATTATTTATAATTAAAATCAACTCCTTGACGCCAATTTCATTACGAACTCCCATTGCTTCAAATAAAGATTTAAAATCACTTATGTATCCTGGAGGAAGTTCTACAATTAAAGAATTATTGTCCTCAAATTCAGTTGGAAGACGAAAGACGAATTTATCAGCCGAATAAAATGCATCATTATGCCAAATCCAAGGTTTATTTTCCAAATCATTCTTCATAATTTCAAATTCTTCTTTATCATCTTTTTGAAAAGCTTTATACATATATTTGTATATTGCGTTACAAATTTCTTTCAAATTCTCAGGTGATTGTCCATTAGATGAACGAACGTAACATAATTCTAATTGCTCTAGAACTGTTCTAACATCCGGATAAGTATTCCATCCCAAGTGTTTTAAAAAATTTTCATCTTTAACATTATAATCCAGTATTGGTGCAACCAAACAAACTAGGTATTCGTGTTCTTTATAATAACAATCCTTAGGTTTCGAAAGAATTTGGTTGCCAAATCCGTCAACAGTAGGAATCCATTCTTTATTGAGAATAGTTTTCATGAATTCATGATTTTTATTTTTAATCAAGTTCCATTTTTCATCTATATATTTAAAAAGGTTGAATGCTTTGGTATGAAATATATCCTGTGACCTTCGTGTTACAATAGTATTAATACGATTGATGACATCATCTGAAGAAAGGATTGATTTCATTCCTATTGATCTCAAATTCGAAAAGAATAACTCTCGAGAAATACCAAATCTTTCAACGGGAAATGCTAGTTCGTCCTCAAAAAATATTTCTTTCAAAATATGTGCATTTGGATCAAATAATTCTGTCGGACTAGCAAATCTTGTTTCTTTGTCAATCGGCTTTTGACTTCGCCATGACATTTTAAAAGTGCCAACAGGAATTATCGATATTTCTCCAAGAGAATTTTTCAAACTTGTATTATGATTAAGCAAACTTTGTAACCTTTCGAAAAGTCTGTGTACTACGATACCTTTATCTTCTGGTGGTTGCGATTCGAGAAATGGTATTACATAATTTCGCCAATAATCAAGTGAATCTAATCGAGGAATCTTAATGGTATTTTCCAGAATATAACTTAAATTTTGTGAACTTGAAACAAGAAACCTTCCTTGATTACTTGGATAAATAATTTTTCCAAAAGCATTTTCTTCATTCTGAGGAAGGAGGAACCAATTTGTATTTCCAGGTAATAATGAAATTGAAGAAGTATGGTCAACTTCGGTAAAAATAGGTAGATGCTTAATGACTTCAATAAGATTCGATATTTCGTCTTTGTTGGCGAGGCGTAAGTGATTAGATAAATAATCAACGAGATTAGATGCTTCAGGGGGTTCTAACCTATGATCCAAATTTCCTGGATACGAGGTGTCGGCTCGAAAAGATTTTAGAGCTAATACAACATCATCAGGTTTAATAGTATAGCTAGATGCTCTAAAGAAAAGGAAAAAAAATTAGCTTATTTAAAACATCATATAAAAAGCTTTTACAAATTCAAGTACTTACTTCCCCCATCTATCCATTTCGCAAAATCTACTGTCCACAAAAACGGCACCAAATTTTTCGAAAGTAGATTTTAAAGCATTATTCCTCATTTGATTAGAAAATATGCCTTTATGAGTATTTAGTTGTCTAATAGTAGAACGATTTGTTGGGATTAAATGAATGTGGTTGAACTTGTCCAATTTCCATTTTCTAGATCTTAGATTACTCCACAAATCGCAAATCCATTCATAATGATCTAATATCGGTATCTCTTCAGAATCTACATTTTCGGAATTCAGAGAGAATTTGATCATATCGACGACAGAAATTTCGTCTAAGAGTTTTATATTTAGATTCCATTCCTTTGCATACTCGCACAAATCGTTATGCAAATCATAAGGAATTGATTTGTCAATGAGTTTGTTCAATTGATTTTTAAATGTGTTGTGCTCATCATTTATGTGATTTTCAAGGAGATAATCTTTTGGGTAAATATAAACGTAAGAATTACCATCCGTTGTTAAAGTCCCAAACGTACCATCCGCAAGCGGAATCATTTTAAAACCTTCCAATTCGTCAAATTGTTTGTCCTTTAAAATATACCCAAATAATTTTAAGACTTCATCTCTTGAGATTGTTTCTGTGTCTTGCCATCTGTTACGATTATTATTTAAATAAGTACGAATAATGGCAGAAGAAAAAAATTTAGGAAAATCTCCATGATTAGATTCTTTTAAGGCCATCAGAATTGGATGAAGCGTTGCTATCACAGGAAATCCAGTCTTTTTAATTATACTAGTCAATGTAAAATCAAGCAATTTCTCCTCTTCAAAATATCCATTGGAAAGTGATAACCAATGAAATTCGGATTCTTGATATTGGGCATCATCTATGACACCAAATTCTGTTCCGATAGCAATCGTTGATGAAGGTCCTTTGAATACGCGATCCTCAATGCTAAGGTTATTAATTACATTTTGTAATAGGTTTTTGTAAAAAGCACTTAAGCTATATGATGTTTCTTCTTTAATGATTGGCCAGTATTTATATACATCGGTTGGTGGAATATTGGGAATTGTAAACGGAATTTTACGAAGGAATCTCACCCACGCTTTCGGTAGGACATTTTCAAATAAATAATTGTTCCATGAAACTTTCAGTCGTGCTAATGACTCGGCCGCCTATAATTTAAAATTCGGTATTCATTAGTTAAAATACTACTTTATTACACTTAAAAAAAAATATTCACCAGATCTTCATTTTCTGCGGCCGCCCATAAAGAACGTCGATTGGTGCTAACCTTTTATACCAAATAAAAAATTATTAACGTTAAAAAAAAAAAAAAAAAATGTCAAAGTTTATTAATTCTTACCGCGAAATATCCATGCACCGAAACGGGAAAAGGCGTAGAAATGGGAAGAGGTAAAAAACAAAATAAACTTCCAGCGATCATTAAATCATTGATGGGAACGGCTAAACCAACGTTAGGGATAAACTTGTGATCACCAATGCTTCTTTTGAACTCATTTTGAAAATATTTTTCGGTTTCGAGCAAGTCATCAAGATAATTCAAGATTAACCATGAACTATTCTCTTTAGAATCTCCTTTTTGACGACAAAACGTTGCAATATAAGACGTATCTAATTGATTATTTCCTTTAAGTTCACCCGATTTTAATAAATTCATCATTGGCCCAATATTTTTTGCTATCAACCGACGCTTTTCTCGAACTTCATCGGCATTTTCCAATTGAATTGTATATAGTAACTCAAGTTCGTTAGCACCATTTTTTATTTCATAAAAAGAAATGCGTTCAATATATTTTATGAACAATAAGCTATCAATGCTCTCATGTTCGTAAAATTTATCAAACATTTCCAAGATTGCGTCAGGTTTATAAATTCTGTCAGAAATTTCCGAGTCAGTAGAATCTACTTCAGTACGGAGTGGATAACGAAACAAAGTGCCATTATAATGATTTTCACACGGAATTCTAAAAGGAGCAAACTGATTAGGGTAATCTTTAAACATTCTCTCGTCGACGTCAAGTATGACGCCACCTCGAAAATACCGTTCATGT